GTGCTGCAAAATAACAAATAGCAAATGTGAATTATGAAGTTATGAATGTGTCTGAAAGTGAGTTAGGCCAAAAATTTTTTTGCCACCATGCACTTTGCAAACATCTCATTTCATGAAATTTTAAACTTCCACAATCCATATTGCTATACCGTTCTTTCCAAAATATCCTGCAGAACATAATATCGTAATATAAACAAGTCAACCTAAATGTTTTGTTAAAGATTGCGCATAGTTGCGGTCACGTCAAAGCTGTCAGTCTGCATTAACACTTTGACTGCAACTCACAAAATAGCCTGTATTCCAGTGATGGGACTCATTCAAACTTGAATAACTTTAGTTGGGTACATACAAGACAGCGAGATGATGGCTAGTGCACTGCACTTGTCTAAGCGAGTTCTACAAGCTTCTGACATAAAAACCGTGAGCCTCTATTGGTGCACGTTGCCTGGAATGGAAACTTTCATCTTTCTAGGCAATGGGCGCCATATGAGGTACGTACATGGCATTTATTATACAACTACAATGAAAATTTGCATCACACGGGTACTAACACTTGGAAAAAAATTTTCTAAGCAAAATGAATTGGAAGGTAACTGCAATACCTACTCAAACTACAAATCATTCTGGGGTGAAATGCTGCTAAATGGGAAGTTTATAATTCATTTAGATGATGTCTTACAAAACTGCCCTAAGCAAAGCATGAAGTGGTACTGACAACTGTTCAAGTTATTGGCAAAAACTGCTGTAGCAAATGCCTGGGTGCTAGGTGATCAGTTCTTTAGTTGGCAAAAATTGATGTGAATCGCTGAAGTTGTCAAAGATTACTGAATGTATTGCCACTAAAAGTATTTCAGACACTTGAAGAAATGTTTCTATAACCAAATCCACAATGATTTTAGATGTTTGTGTTTAGATGGGGAGCTGAGGATCTAAACTTCATGTCATGACAAATGACTGATCTGAGTCTTGCTCCAACATAATTGCAAAAAAAAAAGGAACTTAGTGCTAAAGTGAGACAGAAAGCTAGAAAAGTAACTATTAATTGCTAGCCCAGTACTCGGAATCCGTATTGTGAGGGAATGGCTTTTGAATCTGTGAATTTTGTGTTGCCATTCCTTCTTTCATGCAGTTCTCCCTAATCCCTTATTTCTTTTTTCATTCCAGATCACAATAGTGGTTTTGATCTAGGGAAATGTACTGGTACTAGTGGCTAACTATGCTCACACGGAGTTTATTGATCTTTATTGATTCTCAGTTCACCAAGGGTTGATGTGTGGCACGTGCTCAAAGGTTACTGATTGAAGGGCTGTGACCTAGTGCTATTCAGTGTCCCAGTGCTACTCAGTGCTATTCAGTGCTACTCAGTGCTATTCAGTGCCCCCCAAGGCAGAATTCTTTCTCTACTTTTGGATATCAACAAGCAAAATAACGTATGCCAGGTTCTTTAAAACTTTCCTGGCTGATTCAATTTAGTTGAAAGTGTCCCACGGATAAAATATTAGCTACTTCAATCATCCAAGTGCTACTCAGTGCCACCCAGAACTGTTCAGTGCCCCTCAGTGCTACTTGGTGCCCCAGTGCTCACTGCTTGGGAGGTGTTCTCTGGTGTTCCTTGGGAGTCACAGGCAACCATTTGACCCTGGTGCCCAATTTGGTTGGGGCTATGAGCTGATTGACCCAGTCTCCAAAAGTTTGTGTGACCTGAAGCTCAACCCCGGATGCTGGAAGCTCAAGACAGAAGATTGTAATCCTCTAGCTCTGACGATAGCCTTCCTTGAAGATTTCCATGCGTGTTAGCTTGTATCAAGTTATTTTCACTGTTCCATTTACCATGTTTTACTGATCACCACGATAGTTCAGAGTTGGTTAGGGTTCTTATAGTTTCTTTACTGATTACATCCATTCTCATCCCGTGTATGTACCATCCCTTAACTCCACTAACCCCTCATCCTCATGTGTGTTTTTAATGTAATTACTACTTGTCACCTTGGTTTTGAGTTTATTTGGTTGGATTGGTCCTGTGTTTGATTTTCCTTCTTAGTATCTAGACCTCCCAAGATAGTCTGGCCAGGTGAAAGAACCAATACTATATTGGTTGTGCCAGGCCTTTAGAGCTAAAAGGTTAGGAGTGCCCCTAACAGTATCACTGTTTATCTTGCTTTTTACAGTGTCATTCTGTTTCTGTGTTAGCTTAGGCAACTTTTGAATGACTAATATCTATTTTCCTACTGCTATAATCCATACCAGTACTGAAAAAATGATTTTCTGCATATTGGAACAGGATAACACCCTTTATTTAATACTTTTTCTCTTTGACCCACTCATTATTTCAGGCTAGATTTCAACTACTACGATTCTTATGATTTGATTGCACGGCGTTATTATAGGTTTTTGAAAACATTAATGTCAATTACCTATGATATTCTTCACAAGTTTATGGTCTGGCTGATATTTTAAAGAGTTTTTCCAAAAAACTAAATTTTTTGAGCGTGCGCTATATTGTGTGTACCATATATGGCACACGAGACAGTCAAAGTGTTAACACTTGTTCAGCTTACAGTAAAGACGAATATTATTGTTGCCTTTTAGCTGTTTTAGGGTAAAGTTAGAGATTTGGGGCAACATGTGCATGGACTTTGTAAATAAATGTGAGCCTTCTAAATGGCTTTTCATAGCCGAGATATGGAATTCACGTCTCGAAAAATGAAATGAACTCACAGTTTGAAGAAATGGAATCACAGCTGGCAAAGCCATGCAACCACGGCTTGAAAAATTGAGTCTTGGCTTGCCAAGTAGATATATTCCATGCCTGTCAGCAAGATCTGGACTAAGATACTTCCTGGCCTACTTATAAGACTGAAGGGCAACAAAAAATGTTCTCCTATGACCTTTGCCACTATGCTGAGTCCAGGGTGCAAAGTAGATACAGATTTTAGCCCAAAACTTCTATCATTGAATTTTTTTATGAAGCCTTTTACAGTGTTTAATTTTTTTGTTTTCTGTATGATTTTGGTTGATCCACAACCCACATAGAAATAATAATAGGCTAATGAATGCTTTTGTAGGTATCTGAAAGAAAAAACATTTTTTCTTTTATCATAATGAAAATTATAGATATACATCTGAAAAGAGAAAAAAAATACAGAAAATTACCATATAAAGTTATTTATAGGATATATGATAGGTTAGGTCAAGTTAGGTTAGGTGAAGGTAATTTATATTGGGTTAGGTTTCATAAGGATAGGTTAGGGTAGCTTAATTTAGATTGAATTGGTTCAAATATTTTTGGCATTTTTCAAATACTATAAGCTAATTATGTTGTTTGATGGAGGAGTGAATTTAGTTGATTATATTTCATAATTGACTTCAATTGGTAGGAATGATTTAATTATTTCAGAATGAGATTACTTAGAATCATTTGTAGTGGTGAAGTTATTGCAATCATTCATTTAAATTTTTTACTCACGTGGGCTCTACGTTTTGGAGTTTGGTGATTAACTAGGAGAGTACCTATTATTAATGTACATGGTGGGTGTTTGTTAGATATGTTAGTTGATTTTTTGTGGAAATTTGTAGGTTATTTGTGACATGATGAGAGATGTGTGTGGGCATGTATTCAGATTGTTGATTTGTTGTGAGCAACTTTTATTGTAGTTCTTATCATGCGTGTTGAAAGTATTATATGAATTAGTACCGTCAACCGGGGCTACTCGGGACGGGCGGGGCTACTCAAGACAGTCCTCCAACATGGCGTATAACTGTTATAGTAGCAAAACTAATTGGAATATTGCAAAACTAAATATAGTGGCGTAAACGTCAACATTTTTCCTATCTATGTAGTATAAAGGAATTCGAAAAATACTACATTTACTAGCTTTGAAAATTTCCTGAAAAAAATGGTGAAAAATGCTATTTTGAAAAGTTACTTCTGCTAAGGTCTGCAGCAAAAAAAATATTCGCCGTATTAAAAAATTTTACTTACATAAAAGATGCACCCAGGTGTCGGCTTGAAAACGTAATTGACGGAATTGTCCTATCTCATTCCAAAAAAAAAAAATGGCGGCCATTTCCGCACAGTGGGGCTACTCAGGACACCCCCCCAGGGCTATTCAGGACACCCCCAAAAACGCATTTACAGTAGAACCTCAGTTAGCAAAGGCTCCAGTTAAGAGAAAAATTGATTAAAACAAAGAATATTTATTACATTTACCTCGTCAGCGAAAAAATTTCACTTATTGAAAAATTAGTGCATCATTGGTCATCACAAAATTGTGCAAGGAATGTCATATATAGAATTGTGCACCGGGCATCATAGAATGAAAAGTAATTGACCTAAACTATGATTTATTTCTCCAAAACATATGATGGTTGTCACTAAAATATTCCTTTCTGTTTCAGGTATGTTTTTCACGATCTTTTTTTTATAGTAAATTCACTTAACGTAATTAAAATGGTGTGAAATTACAAGCCATCCTATAAGCTTACAGGTACCGAAAAAATGCTATAAGGCTGCTGATATGAAGCTTGCAGTGGACAAGGTTGTTGTAAATGCTCAATGGCATGTTCATTGATACAGTAATATCGCATCAATAATACAATCATGTCACATCAATAATACAGTACCTTAATGTATATGGTAATATCATATCAATATAGGAAAAACAAGTAAAAATCACAGAAAATGTCAGTTATTCTACCTCTACATCATCTACAATGAAAGAGGAGGAGTTCAGAGTACTGTTAGTAATGGATGAGTATGCTCTGCATGCTTCAAATGTTTTAAAATGAAGTTTTATTCCAAGTGTCCCGAGTAGCCCCATTCGACGGGGCTACTCGGGACACTCTTTTTTTTTTGCTTCTGGCATCTTACAAATAGCATATGGAATTTTTTTGACAATGCCATTCGATAGCCCTCGCAAAGAGCTATAAAATGAGCCTAAACTTGTTTATGAAATGATTCATCATAAGAAGTTATTAACAGTAGGTAATTAACAAAAAAAAAAACGCTCAACTGTCCCGAGTAGCCCCGGTTGACGGTATTGAATGTTGTTAATTAAACATGAATAGTGGTATTATCTGTTCTTACTGGTCTTATCTTTCAAAGGCCATTGCTTCTGAAGAGGTGCGCAAGAATCAGATTAAGAAGAACCACCATGCTCCAAAAAGATACATTTCCTTTTTATATCAAGATGAAAGTGGCCGAATTAAAGTGGAAGAAGATGACAGTAATAAGATGATTGCTGTCATGGGGAACAGAAGAATTAAAAGCAGCCAAGTAACAGGACGATTTTTCAAGGTAATTATGTATGAATTGTTGGTAACTCTATTGTGTAGAAATTTTAAGGTAAACTATTTGGACACTTGCAATTATTATGGTTGTAATGGTTGTCATGTTTGGAGTTCCTCATCGCAAATGGTTTTAGCTAGAATTGGAAACAGAGAGGGTAGAACTCAGAATTGATAATAAAAATGAGGAACTTGATGTAAATTTTGCTGTGGTTTATGGTCAAGTACTTCAAAATAGTAACCATGGTTAAAATCGAAATGAAGCAAAACAGCACAGGCAAAATAGTATATGGTAGGTTATTTAGAAATACTCATGCAATTTTTTGATGTTGTTCTATAATTTTAATAATATTAATCATAAAACTATGTATTCCTGATAATTCCTTACGCTTCCAGCAGGCTGTACCAAGACGACTGGGCACCATAAAGAACCCCCACGAAACTGAGATCCACGTGCACCATATTATTCCGCAATGTAAAATCAAGCTGAGCATCATTGAATGGCAAAAACGAAGCACAGAAGAATTTGACGCAAATTTGGAGGAGTACCTGAATTTACCTCCTATTAGGCAAATTTTTGTAAATAGTTTACTAGAGAAAAAAACCAGAGACGGGAAAGTTTTCCTCAATAAACCAGAGTGCACAGGCATTAATCTTTATAATGCCATATGCTGGTATCCTAGGAACTTAGTTCGTGGTCCTCACCGTGTTCTACGCAATAAAGACCCACTAGAAAACTTTGACACCGAAATTTTTAGTGTACAAAGTGTTAATTACCAGTATGCCTGCACAAAGGCATGGAATGCCATCCAAAATAATTCAGAAAATAGTGACAAAGATTTATTTAGAATTTGTGTGGAAGCTTTAGGTGATTTGGAGATGCCAGAAGTACGTTGGGTGAAGGGGGAAAATGGGAAATATGATGCCCAAAAATATTAGCTATGATACAAGTACACTAATATGTTTAATGGGAATTTTTATAGTTGTGGTGTCCATAAAGATTGAGATAAACTCTTCTATTTTTGTTGTCGTTTCTATGTTTGCCTTTGTACTTGAATAAAATTAAAACTTTTTAAAATTTTAATTATAGTTGCATTTGGTAGGAAAATTATGATGTATTTTTAATGTACTTGAATAAAATTGAAACTTTTTAAAATTTTAATTATAGTTGCATTTGGTAGGAAAATTATGATGTATTTTTAATGTACTTGAATAAAATTGAAACTTTTTAAAATTTTAATTATAGTTGCATTTGGTAGGAAAATTATGATGTATTTTGTATCAGAATTGTGTGCAATGTGAATTAGACATGAAAACACCAACAAAAATTAGACAAAAGCGCCTAATGCAAACCTGAGTTTCATTTACTTGTATAAGATACTTAGAAGATATGTTTAATACTTGTTTATAATGAAAGTTTATCACATTATAATCACATTATATCAAATACATGTGATAATACATGTAATGAACTTGTTTCTAAGTTTATCTTTTTTTGTGCCTGAACTAAACCAAATAGTTTTTGTATGTGATAATCTGATAACTGTTTTGATAGGTAGTTGAATTTTTACCTGCTTTCCACACTTAAATAATTTTACTTGAAGTTTTTTTATTTTTTTTTCCTTGAATTTGTATACCGCCAGTCTTGAGAAATAGTGAGTTTGTCCTAATAAATGTGCACTATTTGATCTTGTATGGGTTATCCTGACCTAATTAGACCGGAGTGTATCTGTGCTTCAATCAGGAAGTGTCACTATTCGAAAATGATTAATTTTTCAGAATATAGCATGATATGATTTATTCTAAGTTAGATTTCGGAGTCAGAGAGTTAACTTGATCAATGTTAATTGAAGAATAAAAATATTTTGACCATTTAACCCGCTGTAGGAGGTTCATGATAAATTTAGCCAATCAGTTGACGGTAATGGGAATAATTGGTCCTTATTTTCTTGAAGAAAACGAACGCGCAGTTACCGTTAATGGAGCTCGTTACAGGAACATGATCGAGGAATTTTTTCTTTTAAGACTCGAAGAAATTAACGTTAGGAACGTGTGGTTTCAGCAAGATGGAGCCACAGCACACACAGCACGAGACTCAATGAATTTGTTGCGACAACATTTCCCCGACCGCCTCATCTCTCTCAGAGGCGGTCTCCAATGGCCGCCACGCTCTCCAGATTTGACTCCATGCGATTTCTTATTATGGGGTTGTTTGAAATCTCTGGTTTAAGTAGATCGAAAACAGACCATAGCACACCTCAAGAACAACGTTCGCGACGCCATTACCAACATAGCGATTGACATGCTGCAAAGAGTGGATAAGAATTTCAAAAATCGATTTCATCAGTGTATGCGCAATGTGGGTTGCCATTTATCTGATGTCATTTCCAAGACTGTATGAAAAAAAATTGGGATATTTTATTCTCTAATAAAAAAAGTTAAAACAACAATTGAAGTACTTTGGTTTTTATTGACCTTTCAAATAAATAAGTTTCTCTCGTGCATCCTGTATCTGATGCTACTGATGGCATGCCTTACTTTTTTTCATGTCTTCATTGTAATGTTGGGTGTGGGCAGGTGCTGGCGTGGACCTGCACGCCCCTCGTGGTGTCGTCCTTCTGCTGGACGAGCAACACGGCGCAGGTGTGGCGGCAGTTGTAACGTAGCACATTACAACTTCTGTACAATTACAACGTCGGACACTACAACTTGTGTAGTTTATAACGGCAATTACAATGTCGGATACTACATGTTGTGTAGTTTCCAACGTGAATTACAACGTTGCACACAACAAGTTATGTAGTTTCAACGAACTCAACATTTACCTATAAGCTACTCATGTGAATATCATAAATGTTAGCTTCCTGCTCTTTAAAAGTGGCTGGAATGAAATTTTTTTTATCTGTGTGTCTTGTTTTGCTGAAAACAAGTGGCAATAATCATATGATGAACAATAAAGGGAGTCGTAACGAATACAACAATTTGTAACTCACTAACTCAACTTTGTAACTCGATACCTTAAACTAAAAATTTGTAAGCTACTGCTGGCCTTATGCATCTTACCCGCTTACAAACTGTCCCCCCCTTAACCCCCAGACTGATGGGTGAACCACACTCGTCTGCGAGGCTCCCCAAGCAGCAGCTGGTGGGGGAGGCTATAGTGCGTGGGCCTCTTGACGCCTGTGGGCGCCTCTCAGGGAGCCTGAGCCTCAATCGTCGCGACTTTGCAGGTTCGAGTGCAGATCAAGTGCCTTGTTTTACCACAGAATGCCGTCACTTGTGCTGTGTCATGCGCGCCATTTTCCTCCTGAAATGTTATGAGTTTTTACCGCTATAAGTGTCGTAAGTAATTTAAAAGCAAAGAAAACGCCAAGAAAATTCACCAAATCGATATTGAAAACGTTTCGAAGTCCAGCTCCATCTTAATATGATTTTATTCATTTTTAGTTTAGTCGAACTTGATGGAGCTGTACTCCGAAATGTTTTCAATATCGATATGGTGAATTTTCTTGGCGTTTTCTTTGCTTTTAAATTCCTTGTGAACTTGCGATATAAGCAGACTGATAATATAAGCACTTATAAGTTTCGTTGTTTGGGCGGTGTTAAATTAATTGGGACATTTAGGACTGAGGTAGTTTTTTTCAGTGGTTATATCTTAGGTTAATATTATTTCTCGCTTATTGTGTATTGACTCAAGTTGATTGGTCAGGTCCCAAATTGGCAATAGAAGGAGCGATGAACCCAGCCTGGGGGATGAGGAGCCTGCAGCAGCTCGCGCCCTCTCAACGCGCTGCTTCTGGCGGCGCCCCCACCGCCCCTCACGCGCCTGGCCTCCTCAACACTGACTCGGAGCACAGCATCAGCACCAGGTTCGCCTCACACGTCCTTAAAATTCAAAGTTATTTGTGAGGATGTGACTCGTCTATTTATTTATTCACGAGACGTATAACGCGCCGGTTTGTTGCATAATATCATACGCTAATTCTTACTCTGAGTATCAGGGCCTATACTTCAAGAAAAGTTAAGACATCGTAAGTTAACCAGCCTATCATTGACGGCCTTTCAAGCAAAATCCACCAATCATAGACAAGAAAATTGAGCGTAAGTACTTACGTTCACTTAGCGAGTTTTGAAAGTAGGACTCCTGGTCTCTGACGACAGTGTTGCCGTGCAGGTACATAATATCATGCGCTAGTATCAGGTCTCTGACGACAGTGTTGCCGTGCAGGTACATAATATCATGCGCTAGTATCATGTCTCTGACAACTGTGTTGCCATGCAGGTACATAATATCATGCGCTAGTATCATGTCTCTGACAACTGTGTTGCCGTGCAGGTACATAATATCATGCGCTAGTATCAGGTCGCTGACGACAGTGATGCCATACAGATACTCCATTGAGTCCGGCTTCCAGTACTACGCCAGCAGCCGGCAGCAGCGCAAGGGGCGCATGCGGCGTCACTCGCTAGACTCGCAGCTCTCCTTCCACGTGTCCGACGTGGAGCGCGAGGCCGCCCGCCACACCATCGTGCGCTTCGCTGCTGCTGCTGCTCCTGCTGGGGGTGTAGGGGCTCCCAACAGAGCGTGCGTGCACTCCTTCAGCTCCAGGTGAATTTTCTTGTGATGTGTAGCCGGATTACGAATAGGATTTCTCCTTTGTGGTAATTTTACGTTTCAGTCGTACAAGTTCTTGAAGACTTTTTAAACAAGTATAAGCATTATTTAGGGATCAACAAACTGAACGCGCCCATAACACTGCAACAAGTCGCTGCTTGGCAGGGCACTGGTGTCGGCGATTACCGTCATTTGTTTTCTTCGTTTACATCGCTTGAATATCGAGCGATCCAGCAGCATGTGTGTGCTGCTGGACTTGTGATATTAATATGTTGACGATATAAATTCTAAGGGTAGTACCAGAGGATACCTATTCTACGATTGGGAATTTAAATAATTGAGTAGAAATTATCCCGCACATACTTTATTAGTCTTGGAGATTTTCTTTCTGTCAATCTGTACTAATCATTTCAATTGGAAAATTGAAATATTATTGGAGTACAATTGTCTCTTTGCCTCTAAGTGCAGTTCAATCATGCATGCTCTCTACCGTCAATCGAGTTAGTTCTCACAAATCAAGCTAGCTGCAACCACTAAATAACCTGATTCACTATATTGAGATAGTGAATTAGGCAAGCTAATTACCAAATGAAGGCAATTGTCTTGCTAAGTTAGTGTTACTTTAGGGTTAATGTAACTAACTCCCTACCAAGCCGGTCAACTTACTGGTGTGTTGCAGTCTTTCATTGTAATAAACCTACTTCTGAATTATGGGAGATGGCGTCTTCGTTTAGTTTAGAAATTAATCCGATTAGATGATAAATAATCTTTAATTACTAATATATTTTATAGGACGTCGCGAGTCTCTCAGTCCGGGCGGAGCGGCCGGGTGGCTGGGGCGCAGGCTCGTCAGCGGGGCTCGCGAGTCTCGGCGCTGTTCCTACACGTCTGAGGACAGCAGCTTCAGCTCTGTGGTGTGCATACTTCATTTCTGTGTGGCTCCAGTTGTGTATTGGAACGAAGAGTGGTGTATTTTCGACCACATATCTCAGAAAATATTTTTGCTCTATTCTCTGCCTTAACGTCTTTCCTTTCTGGCACTGACTAAAGTTATAGAAATGAGCGTCTGAAGTAACACGTAGTATCCCTTTAGGTGGTGACGGGCGTGAGTGTTGGTGCTGACGACACCACACTTTTCTCGAACATGATGCGCCGCCTGCAGCTCTCCTCCTCAGCGGCATCCAGCCCCTGCCCTCCTGCTGCTGCCCCGCGCGCTAGCGTAGGCAAACGTCTATCTTTAACTTGAAAATTTCAGTTGTTACTTTCAGTTGCTTGACTAGTACTTATTTGAGTTTTACTCAGAGTAGCTGTGTTTTTTTAAGGTTTTTAAAGGTTGTATGGATTAGTGGGCTTGCGGAGCAGCGGAATGTGGGTGAAAAACGTCTGAACGCATTGATTGTTGATTCGTTTTTTGAAATACTAGCACATATATGACGTGCTGTCTGCAGTGATGAACTCTGCTGGTTATAATCCTTCGTCCGCAATTACGGTCAGTGGGCAATTTAGAGACTGAATATACATTAGTAATTAATAACCATAGAAGGCAATATTTGGCTAGTTAAACTTCTAAATATGCTGGTTGCCATTTTCTTTAACAATTTTCTGTGCTCTTACTAATTCCTGAGTTGAGAGAAATTAGTCGCAGAAAGGGTTGAAGTGTGAGGAAGGGTTGAAGTGTGAGGAAGGGATGAAGTGAGAGGAAGGGATGAAGTGTGAGGAAGGGTTGAAGTGTGAGGAAGGGATGAAGTGAGAGGAAGGGATGAAGTGTGAGGAAGGGTTGAAGTATGAGGAAGGGATGAAGTGTGAGGAAGGGGTGAAGTGTGAGGAAGGGGTGAAGTGTGAGGAAGGGTTGAAGTGTGAGGAAGGGATGAAGTGTGAGGAAGGCATGAAGTGTGAGGAAGGCATGAAGTGTGAGGAAGGCATGAAGTGTGAGGAAGGGATGAAGTGTGTTGTTGTGTGCAGGACGTGAAGGAGGCAGCGCTGTGCAGCCGTGCGACCATAGGCGTGCAGACGTCCCTGGAGGACCAGGACTTGCGGTTCCCTCACCTCTCATCCCCGCGCCACGTGCCGCTCGTTGACAAGGCCACGCAAGTGTCACCGAATTTCAGCTCGCACCGCGTGACTCCAACCTTCAAGCCTTACCACCGCTCCCCCCCTCGTCTCTTCAGTAGACAAGCCTCTCTACCGTCCAGTAGCGAAGATATTATTAGTAAAGATGATTCTCAATCGGGCTGGAGAAACGTCCAAAATTATGTGGGGTTACAATGGACACGAGAACAACGTCAAAGACGACCTGAAATACGGTGGATACTTACATGGTGCCTTGCCTGGGCCTAGCCTCACCAGACGCCTCCCTGCTGGTGTAGTTGGTGGTAGAGACGGCGGCGACATGGTCAGACAAAAGCGAAAGAAACGCAGAAACACAAGCCGCTCTCACGGCGCTGTAGGCCGTCGTGGCGCGGTCGCTGAGACCAGTTTTGTTAACAGCACAGATTTGTTATTAGCGAAGTCGAGGAAAGAAAGACGCAACGCTGGCAAGCGGCGAGACTCGGCATCAGGACTAACTGATCTCTTCCCTCACTGTTCGGCCGAGAGGCCTAACTTTAATATGAAGCCGTGTGGCGTTTCGAAAATATCCGATAAGACGGCCAGCACAGGTCTTGAAGCTGAGACTGTCTCGACCGTCCTTGACTTGAAAGATTTTTCTGATTAATAGTGCACCTATAATGATGGCGTCAGGTTATATTAAATTACCCCTCAGGAGGGACTTCTGACGTGTGTCTGTGCGCGTCAGAAGTCCTATGGGATTTCGCGTTCCTAGGGGGATTGTTCCTGAGCGCCCCACCGCTGAGCTCGCGGTGTCTGACCGTTGGTCTAAGTTGTGGGGTTAAGTTATTATGTAGGTAGGATTCCTTACATTTCCCTTCTCTGTCTCTCTCGTGCGGGCGGCCGACGTCCCGTGTAAGCGACCTCTTGTTCGAGTGTCTTAGTTTCTGTCGCTTTTCACCTGTCCCTCCTTGTCACTTCGTCTCTTTGAGATGCTAACGCTGCTTCCTTCGAGCCAGCTTCAGCGGGCTGGACAACTGAGACCTTCCGCCCCTTGTGGGTGATGAATAATTTGAGACTTTGAATAATTGAGACCTTCCGCCTTATGGCGATGTTACATTTTGACCTCCGGCGCGAAATAGCTTGAAAGCTGAAGCGCTGGCAAACCATTCTACTACTACTACTATATTAAATTATAAATAGACTTTATGTGGTCGAATTTTACATCATTGCAATTGACTTTCGCTCGCTCACTACTCCAGATCTGGGATTTCTTCAGCGTTAGTTTCCATCTGCTAGTTCACTCGGATAAATTTCTTTTCTATGTACCCTTAAATTTCTAAGTTCCGTTCATTAAGTGAACATTTGTTTAGCTGGGGTGAAGAGCGGGCGTGACATGCGCTACTGCTAACCTTAATCTCTTCCATGTAAACCAAGAATATTTCGTGTGCTGGATCTCTAAACGCTTCAATGTGTCAATCGTACTTTTATGATAATTTACTTTAAATAAGAAATGTTATGACGAGAACCATAGGTAATGCTGGAATAACACTACCTACGGAGGTACCTATAATTCAAACTTATCTCATTTGATGGCTTCTCAGTTATCAGGAGAGATAGTTTGTCACTAATGCATCGAGTTAAGAGAGGTATTTTTCTACGTCTCAAAAGCAATTTTTCCTACCTGATAGTATAAATATAGGAAGCCCCTACCTTCTGTAGTGGCTTCCTATACTGTTATGCTGCTATCATTCTTACAATTGTTTCTACATAATAGCTGCAGTAGCCACAAACTATTGTGTTATGTTGATGTCATTCTGGCAATTGTTTCTACATGATAGCTGCTGTAGCCATTAACTATTGTGTTCTGATGTCATTCTGGCAATTGTTTCTACATGATAGCTGCTGTAGCCACTTACTATTGTGTTCTGTTGCTGTCATTCTGGCAATTGTTTCTACATGATAGCTGCTGTAGCCATTAACTATTGTGTTCTGTTGCTGTCATTCTGGCAATTGTTTCTACGTGATAGCTGCTGTAGCCACTAACTATTGTGTTATGTTGATGTCATTCTTGCAATTGTTTCTACGTGATAGCTGCTGTAGCCACTAACTATTGTGTTCGTTGCTGCCAGTTATGCTATTCTAGGTGATCGCGGCTATTATCTTCACTGCCATCTATGATTCTTGCTATTATTTCTAAGTTATCGCGGCATTACCCGCTCTGGATTGTGTTGGGCAGCTGTTGATTTATGTGTAGTTAGCGACCGTTGTGTTGCTAACTCACTAAATAAGTGAACTCCTCTCGACTGGAGGAAGAAAGGCCTAAACAATTTTGTAAAACAAGTGATTCTCTTAATTTAAGTTTTTAAGTGTTATCATATTCCTCACTCCAAGAATCTCGTATGTGCTTCCAGTTTTTACAAGGATCAGAATATCTTCTGTTCAGCGTTTTCATTATAACTCTTTCACTACTGAATTTTAAATATTAAAGTGACTTATGATAAGCTTCTTCATTGTATTGTAAAGTTTGGAAAGGCAGCATTTGTGCTGCACTGCATAAAGCGTGCCAGACCATAATGACTTTTGGATATTATAATTTTAGCTGAATACTCGGATGAATGTTCCGTTATTATTCATGTTTGTAACTAGCAAGTAGTTATAATTATAAGTCCTGATCTAAGGTACAGTACAAGAAAAAACCATTTCTGCTTAAAAAATAAATTTGTAAGTTTGTCCAAGTCCTCTCATTCAAACGAAAATACTCTGTGTAAGTTGTTAAGTTATTGTTAAGATTGCCGTATTTATATGTGTTGTCCTCAATAAATTGTACGTCACATGTTGACGTGTCACACTGCTACCTACCTAACTCGTACCGAAGCTTTAAGCGTCCTCTTGCTTGCCAAATTACATTATAGTATTTATGTTGTGTTGGGCACGCTACGGTGTGGCGGTAGAATGCTTGAAACTCAGTTTTATTCGTCAGTTCACGAATTGTATCTGACTTCCAAGTGATAAAATGGCTCTTGCAAATTTTCAGTTCAACTGAGAAATTTCAGGTGCATTAAGCTGGTATTTAAGTAACGAAATATTCGTCATGATAATTGATAGAAACTGCTGCTTAGGTCACGTTTCGCGTATACAAATACACGATTCACTTGTGTGACTATCCCAAATATATACTGTCTATTGCATGGCTGTTAGCGGACTTTGGAAACTTAGAAAAAAATCTTGTCGGCGCATCCAATTATTTCGTAAAATTTTTGCATAATAATGTTGCGTAAATGTCCATGAACTGCATCTCTAAATTCATTTTTATCGCGTATATGAAAATATTTTGTAGTTGCAGCAGAAATGTTCCAGATCATGGCTCCGTGTTAAGAATATATCTACCTCAGGGCTTGCTCGTTTCTTCTCCCGTATCACCGACCGGCTTCGACTTCGAGCATAAGAATTTATATTTACAAGCAGACCGAAAGCTATTATCCTCCGATAATTAAACCGTTTTTCGTTCAGATTCATATAGTTATTTACGACAATTCTAATTAAATGATTTAATATGAAATCAACTTGATACTTCTACTTTTATCTTAAATCGACATTTAGTATATTTTCCTTTATAAGGACTATTATAGAACTCGTTATATAATCATTTATTTATTCTACCATAACAGGGCTACGAACGAGTCCACGATGCCCGGTATTTTCCTGTAGTATATTTTGTTCAGTTTCGTCCTCTTGTTGGAATCATGTTAAGCTACTAACTGCTCTTGACACGTCGACGTCTTGAGAACTGTTTATCTTGAGTTAGAGCAGACATGATAATTCGAGAGACAACTCAAATAAAAACATGTCTTGGTCCAGATTTCGCCCTATATTTTTTGGGCGACAGGTTCCTGGAGTTGGTAGAAGGAGCTTCGGTTCATTCCGACGCTCAACTCGGAAAAATATATATTTGTGGTTGGCCATCAAATTAACAAGGTCGTGGATAGAATTATACTGAAACCTGGAGATTTGCCTCCACTAAGTCAAACACTAGAAAACGACCAATCTCAGGTGCGGAGAGAAAATAAATTTTGATGTAGGTAGGAAAATGAAACCGTGCATGTCGACTGGTTCATTTGCTGCATCAGTTTTTGTATATCCGTATGCATGGTTTTTTTGACAACAACATGGTTTTATTGTCAACATGGTTTCATTGCTGGTAGATCCTGCACCACTAACTTATTATCTACGTTGAACGATTGGACTCTCCGGATATCCACCAATCAGCCGTGCACCACTCGGCTTTGTCCTCCTCCGGCCTTGACCACCACCTGCCTTGCACCATCAGGCCGCGGATCGAATCTGACTTCCGGGCATCGTTAAATTACGTAACTTTACGTTCACCGCATCTGAGGTTAGGTTTCAGATAGCATAGTTCTGTTCCAAAATTTATCGTCCTTCGACAAGCGGCCGTCCGACCGAGGGCTGGTTCGACCCACGGCCTAGATACGGACGGCTTGAAGTGTTGAAGGCTAGGTTCCGGAAGGCAGGAATCATGATGGTCCATTACGCCCAGGGCAGTTGTGGTCTTCGGCAGGCGACCCTTGCCAAAGCATTTCACAGTGTTCCGCATGAGCGGCTGTTACGTAAAGTGAAGTCTTTGGGAATTGAGGGAAACGTACTCCAATGGATCAGAAATTTCCTAGTAGGTAGACGACAACGTGTCAGTATTAACGTAACTGTGTCAGACTGGGCATCAGTGCGCAGTGGCGTGCCACAAGGAAGCGTTCTTGGGAATATTTTGTTCGTTGCTTTTATAAACGAACTGCCAAAATTTAAGCAGTGTCCAGCGTGTGCTCCATGTATGCCGACAACACAAAAGTTTATAATACTGTTAAGGATGCATCAAATAACGCGCAATTGCATGATGATCTTGACAGTTTGGTTAACTGGACTGATACATGGCAGCTGCGGTTTAATGCTGACCAGTGTAAAGTACTTCACCTCGGGAAGAACAATGAACAGTATAGTTGTATAGTATAGAATCATCGGCATTAAAGAATAGGCCCGGATAGGCCTGTCGCCGATTCTTGTACTTTTCTCGACTAGACTGGCCTTTTGATCAGATCTTTTCAACGGACGGTAGATTAAAAACTGCTTCTAGATATCAGTTGTTCCGTAGGGTACGAGACATTTTAAGACTAAACATATGCTCATGCATAGCCTTGTCTAGTTTGTTCTTGAACGCGTTCATACTCGGGGGACGCATTATAGACCGCTACATAGCCCTTGCCCACAATTCAATATCTATTACGCTAGAGGGCATATTAGCCTGTGTGATTAAGTGCTTAAAGCCATAGGCGTCATTTCCTTTCCTGGATATGAATCAATCAGCCAGATAACATCAAGCCACCGAAGCAACAGCCGTGGGCAAATAGCCAAACTGTTGCGTGCTTGTATTAAACACAGCCTGGCGTATTCGCGGCTTTTGAAAATAAGCGCCTGACATAACAGCGCCGTTACGTCACAGCAACTGCTTCATGGCGCTCTACTCCACAGGCTAAAGCGCAAACCGCCGTCCCTATAACGCCATGCCCCGGCTCTCCCCCTTCGCAGCCAGCAGAAGGCTTTTCTCGTTGCCCGATCAGTAATGCGCCTGGCGCGATGGAGGGACCTAACCTAACCTAACCAAACCTAACCTATCCTGGCGCACAACTGATCAGCAATTGAAGAAAGCCTTATGGCTGCGAAGGGGGAGAGCCGGGGCATGGCGTTATAGG